TATATATTACTGTATATATAGATATATATTAATCTGCTAAACTTAGACAGCAATATCTTACAAAATATTAAATGATGTTTATTTAAATCTTGCAGGCTCTTCAAATGCCGCCCAGAAACAAAGACATACTTCAGTCATTTAAATGTGGAGCATGGATCTGCTGATATCAGGTCTCAGGGATCCAAGGTTCTTAAGGCCATTGGACATGCAAGCAAAAATCTGGACCATTTGGATGAAGCTCTGAGCAATCTCAGTGACCTGCATGCCCACAACCTGAGAGTGGATCCAGGAAACTTTTATGTGAGACATTGTTCATCTCATAAGATTGAAAGTTTATTGTGATATGTTATAGGCCATTTGGGAAAGGGACTAAAGCTGCCCATTCATGGATTGAGTTTTGGCCATTTTCTGCTGAATCAGCTGAAATTCAATCTTTAGATGGCCCTGATGTGAAAGGAGGTGGACTCTAATGTGAAGGGGGAACTCCAGGTCGTCTTTTTGTTTCTTTGCCTGGGGTCCCCCCTTAAACCCCATACCAGACCCCTGTCTATGATTTGGGTCTGGAATTGATCTTGGGGAGGACCACATGTTAATTTTTACTTTTTTAATGTATGTTTTTCACATTGTATACTAGGGTGTCTCAAATTATTTTGCATACTTTTAAAAGGTGATGTGACTGTAAAAAGGTTGAGAACACTGATTTAGGCAAACCTTGTATAATGAATGGACTGTAATGCTGGACCTCATTGTTGTTGGACTGTATCTTTAAACTCATATTTTGTGCTACTGGACCCTGGTAAGAATAGCATACTTATATTTAGTACTGTTTTAATACTTTCTGATAACTTTATTTATTTATTCTAGACTATTTTATTTTGTAACAATCATAGAATAGAAGCAGTGGTAGGTAGCATAAAGAACCAACCACCACAAAGGGACAGTTAACAAAATATACAATGGGCAATGATTAAAAATGTCTATGCAGTTTACTAAAATACATAATTCTGTCTTATATCTTGCAGCTGCTCTGCCACAACATCCTAGTGGTCCTGGCTATCCATTTCCCAACGGATTTTACACCACATGCTCATGCAGCATGGGACAAGTTCCTGGCTGCAATCACTGATACACTGTGCTCCAAGTACAGATAAGCAATAAGTCCATATATCAGTCAGTCCGAATAAAAGAATCCATGACAATGAGAGGGCTTTTTATCTATCAATAAAACATGAATGATCAAACCTATATATACCTGTGTTATGTATTATTCACTTTCTAAATCAATCTATGTGTGTGTCTTTGTGCATAGTGTACGTGTGTGCGTGTGTGCCTGTATGTGGTTCTAGGTATTGTTCCGCTGATTATTTTTTTAACTGAGGACAATACTAGGGTACATCAGAATTACTGCTACACAGTTATACCTGTACACCATTTTAAAGCTGAACTCCGGGGAAAAATAAGTCCCCCTCCCCTCTGCAAAACTTATTGTTTTGCCTAGGGGATGATGAATAAGGTGATATACTTACCTTATTCCTTGTTCCCTCAGCAACCAGCTCTCTACTCTACATATGGTGCTCTGGAATGTGGCGGGCCATCGGTGTCCTCCCATCCATCCTGCATTGTACTGGATGACGTCAAAGAGCTGCAACCATTGGCTTTGGGAGGATAGGTCACACGAAGAAGAGGAAATCTGTGGAAGCGAGGAATATGGTAAGTATATTACCTTGTTGCTCATCCCCTAAGCCAGGGGTGGGCAACTCTAGCCCCCCAGCTGTGCTTTAAATACAAATCCCAACATGCCTCTGCCTCTGGGAGTCATGCCTGTAACTGTCTGTCTAACAATGCATTATGGGATCTGTAGTTCCACAACAGTTGGAGGGCCAGAGTTGCCCACCTCTGCCCTAGGCAAAAGAAGCAGTTGACCTTTGCAGTGGTGAGGGGGAGCCACTGAAAGTGAAAATCTTTTTTTTTTCCCTCTGAGTTTAGACAGGGCTCCCAACCTGAAAGAAATAATTTCAGGGAGGTGTCCTTCTCATTTCAGGCAGGTGCCCTATGCCCCCCCCCCATCAACAGGCAGATAGCATGGGAAGCAATAGCTACATATTTTGTATTTGTTACATGTTCCTATTCACATAGCATAAGCTAAAAAAAAAATGTTTATTGCAGTTTAAATTGCTTTTACTTGGGTTAGAGTTTCTGGCTCCTTAAGGGTTAACATTTCTACTTCATTCTCCTTTTTTGTAATGTTATGAGTGGGTGTGAGGGGTTAAAGGATTAAAAGCCTGACTTCTGTATTGTATGTTAATGAGCAAAACACAATCTACACAGTTCTGTCCACGTCTTTCTATAAGGACAGATCACTGTGAAGGTGTTTAGGATACCTGGATTCAGCCATGTTGCCTGCTCCAACAAAACATCTGAAAGGTAACAAATATGTATTTTTTTATTATGCTGTGTGAAGTGAAACACATAACAAACATATAGAGGGTTTTTGCAAATTTGACTGCAAAAGCATAAATTCACTTTAAGCATGTTTAGCTCCAGTATGGGAATGTTAAACACAGATGGGAATAATGGGAATTCTGACTTGAACAAGCTGCTAGCAGGCTTCAGCTCTACTTGAATCTTGTTGAAAGCCTGCTAAAGTTGTTAACTGTTTATTTAAAGAAGAACTTTGGGCATTTAAAAAAAAGTAAGTTTGCAGTGGGACTACCTCCACACTGCAAGGGTTAAGTGTCCATTTTAGTCTAAGGTCTAAAATGAAGTAGATATACTTACCTGATCCTCAGTCCTGTGCTGGTACCCACTGGCAGAACTACCAGGGTCGCAGCGGTCGCAATTGCGACCAGGCCCTGGCATTCCACCACCTGGGGGGGGGGGGGCCCAGCGAGGAAGAAGAGCCCCCCCCCCCTGAAATCGTGCCGCTCCTTCACTGACGCACAGCCACCCGCAGCATGTACGGGCGGCTGTATGGCAGGGATGAAGAGGCTGTCACTGGTCCTGCAGAATGTGCTGCAGGCACCGCCGGGCAGCACAGTCTGCTGTGTGAGTACCCTCTCCTCTTAGCTCTGCCCCCTGGCCGCCAAGACGAGGAAGAGGGCACTGCAGGAGATGGAAGGAAAGTCTGGAGTGGGAAGGGGGGCGCGGGCAAGTGTGGGGGTGGGGGGGATGCTGGTGATATTCTGTAGTTCTTTTATGATAATGTATTGCTGGGACTTGTAGTCTCGCATAGCTGGTGGTAGTCTGCATTGCTGTATGATGATTATACAGCAATGCAGAATAGCAACAACTATGTAGGACTACAAGTCCCAGCAATGCATTATAGTGGGGGGTGGGGTGCTGGTGGTATTCTGCATAGCTGACTTTCATTATAATGTATTGCTGGGACCTGTAGTCCTACATGGTTGGTGGTATTCTGCATTGCTGTATGATCATCATACAGCAATGTAGAATACCACCAGCTATGCGGGGACTACAAGTGGAATAGACTTTTAGTTCTCAATGGAATGCAAGTGCAGTGACATCACTGCACTTGTAGTCCATTCTTACTTCTGCCCGTCCATGTACCTAAATGATTTGCCAACATGGACAGAGAAGTCTGCATGTGTGAATAAGAAAAAAATAATAAATACACACTTCTTTTAAAAATAAAAAAATGTGCTTTTTTTATGGCATTGGAGCCACCAAAGCATTGTTCAGTAGATCCTGGTTGAATGCTCTGGCTCCTGCAGAATTCTCTGTCCATGTTGGCAAATCACTTAGGTACATGGACGGGCAGAAGTAAGAATGGACTACAAGTGCAGTGATGTCACTGCACTTGCATTCCATTGAGAACTAAAAGTCTCTTCCACAGTGCCTAATGGGACATGTAGTTTCTCCATACACAGATCATGTCAAAAGACCTGTGAATGAATGACGTGGCTGTGCGGGTAGGGCCTCACACAGCCACGCCATTTTCAAATTTCAACAGCAGCCTACAGGCAGAAGAACCCCACAATTTAGGTAAGTATGGGGCTGGAGGGGAGTGAGAGTTCCTGATGTAACAACGTATTAGGTTACACTCTGACTAAATATGGGTGTAGCATGAAACATGATCTAAAAGGTTAACTTTAAATATATTTTTTATTGTACAATGAATTATATGGGGATCTCCTTGTTCACCGTCATAGCCTTCTCCCTTTCTTCTCCCATTTTACCCTCCAGTAATGTCTGACCCAAGTCTGAGATAACTGTAACTATATTTCTACTTTGCCAATTGATTGTTCAGTACAGAAGAGCCCTGGGGCCATGCTAACAAAAAAAATATAACACATAATTCTGTGTTTAAAAGTCAGAATTCTGTGTTTGAAAGTCAGAATTGTGTTTGAAAGACAGAATTCTGTGTTTAAAAGTCAGAATTCTGAGGTTCAAACTTAGAATTTTAAAAACAGAATTCTGAGACTAAATCTCAGAATTCTGTTTGTAAAATTCTGAGCTTGAAACTCAGAATTCTGACTTTTAAAAACAGAATTATGTTTCATATTTTTTTAGCATGGCCCCAGGGCTCTTCCGTAGAATTCTGACTTTCAAACTCAGAATTCTGACTTTCAAACACAGAATTCTGACTTTTAAAAAAGGAATTATGTTTCATATTTTGTTTCGCATGGCCCCAGGGCTCTTCCATACTTCCGTAGTTCAGTGAGCAGGACAGTGTTCTCAAGGTTTTCAATGGCCCTCATTGCTTGTTTAGTTTTTCCTTCTCCAGATCTTTATTGCCGGCTTTCAGAAGGGCGCCTAACTTCTGCGAAGGTATTCACCCTGGAATTGTCACTTCTGCTGTACATTCATCTGGCACACTTTGTATTGAGATAAATCCTCAACCTTGCTACTCATTATCCTAAACACAATATGTGTATATTACCCCGTTTCAGTTTACAAGTCTTTCTGGGAGCAAACTTTCTGGGAGTCTTGCAGGTAATTTTAAAACTCCTATAATAGAAATGATTAAACAAATATTATTATTGAATTTGGTGTTTTGCCAAACATGAACATAACCTCTTTTCTCATATGTGTGCTTGTTATCTGATCCATTGTATTTGACTCTTGGTTATTTTATGGGCATCAAATCTGATACACTTGAGAGCCTTTTTCTATAGAGTTTTTTTATTGTCATTGCCAGGTATTTCATTAACCTTTCTCATGTACATGGGCTTAGGACTGGCATGTAGAATGTGTATAGACAGCTTTTACACACATACTAAGGCCAAATTAGACAGGAGCCGATAAGCCTACCAGCATGTCTTTGATGTGTGGCAGGAAACCAACCCAAGCACAGGGATAACATGGAAATTCCATACAGATAATGTCCTGGTCAAGATCTGAACCAAGGCATAAGAGCTAACCACTAAGCCAGAGTTCTGCACTGTTCACATATAGATTTTGACATCCGCGGTGTTAAACCCCCTTCCCATCCCGGCCATTTTTCAGTATTCATCGCTGCGGTACTTTGACTGACATTTATTCCGTCATGCAACGCTGTACTGAAATGAATTTTATACCTTTTTTGGGGACAGATAGAGCTTTCTTTTGGTGGTATTTATTCACCAATGGGGTTTTTATTTTTTACTATATTAAGGAAAAATTACCGAAATTAAAAAAAAAAACAGTTTCCCCTATATTAAATGATAAAACATTTATTATTACCCAATTTTTTGGTAAAATATAAAAGACGGGGTCACGTCGGGTAAAAAGACACCAAACATGTCAAGCCTTAAAATTGCGTGCGCGCGCGAAACCTCAAAAAACTATAATACCCAAAATTGGCCATAGGCGACGCTTTAAAAGCTGTTACCGCTCATCAGTTTAGTGTAATCAGTGATGGATGGCCCTAAAACGATTGCTCTCACTGCGACGTTCGCAACGATATGTAACATGTATAGCGCAATTGTCGTTTTTGCGCGCTGGGGCACCGGATGCGTATTTACGTTTATAGGCGCGTAAACGTGGGGGAGTTAAACATTATGGGGGGGTTTTTTCACTTTTTTTATATGTGACTTTTATTTTATTTTACTTTTTTATATGTTCCTTTTATTTTTTTTTTATTTATATATTTTTTTTGCACTTATTGTTATTGCTATTATATAGGGGGATAACAATCCCCCTATATAATAGCAAAGGCACACTGACAGGTCCTCTTTATGGAGACATTAGGGGTCTCTAGGACCCCTAATGTCACCTGTGGACCCCAAAAGAAGCTGATGAAGCAGAGATCTGCTTCATCAGCTTCTTTTCTCTGGCTATAGCAGCCAGATGACTGACAGGTGAATGCGGAAGTGATGGCGAAAAAACTAGCACATATAGACGATCGGTGGGCTATGGAGCCGCCGATCGTCTATATGTGAAACACCCGGTAACGGGTGTTTGCATTGGTCGGGTCTTTTCTGCCCGTGGGCGCGCACGAGCAGAAAAAAAATGCCGTCTGGGGACGGCAACCCGCCAATGCTGCAGTGCCGTCCATCCGTTTTTTTACAACGGGCGGATGGCAAGTGATTAAACATACTTTTAACATTAGTTTATTTCACTGTAAAAGGTAAGACATTTGTTATTTATATCACCATCAATTTATGCAGCACTTTTACATAGTATTCATTTACTCCCTCACTTACCTGAAAGAGTTTACCATCTAAGATCCCTATCTACCACGTATACATACTAAAATCAATTTAGGCAAGAGACAATTAACAGGGTGAACATTCAAATTCCATGCAGATAGTGTCCTGGTCAGGATTCAAACCCAGAACCCCGGTGCTGCAAGGCAGAGGTGCGCTGAGCACCAAAAATGGTACATTTTTGTGTTCTCCTTTTTGAATAAGAATGCTTCAGGACCACCCAGGAACCCTTCATCAAGCCCCCTGCAGTATCCTAAAACATTGTTTTTCTATGTGATCATGTAATAAAGAAGAGGTGTGCACTCTGAAACAAGCTTGTGTGCTGGTGACATATCTTATTAATGTCACACACTGTGACCAATCAGGAGTCATGCAGCACCCTTTCAATTATATGTTTAAAGTGACATTAAAGGCAAAACATGTTTTCCCTCACCCCAACGTTAATTAAAGCACTAACCTTAAATGATGTCTTTTAATCCAATCATCTTCTTTCCTGTAATTTTCAGCCTTCTCTCCAGCGCTGCGGCGAATCTCCGATCCAGCGCTGACTCCTCTGAGCTTGGTGAAGTGATCGTAATGGAAAGTGGACAACTTTTTCAAACAATGTACAAAATGTTTAGAGTTTTTCCAAACAAAGAGAAGAAAACAAAATGAAAAATTACACATTGTGGTTTATTTATTTATTATAGGTATTTATATAGCACTGATGCAGTTCTTTACAAACTGTACATTCACATCAGTCCTTGCCCTCAACGAGCTTATAATCTAAGACCCCTATCTCACATGCATACATAAACGCATGCTAGGGCCAATTTTGGCAGGAGCCAATTAACCTACCAGCATAATTTATTTAGGCCCAGTGACATGGGATTGTGTCGGTCCCGGTGTTATTTCTCCCTTTTTTCCGGTTTCTTTCATTAAACTTAGGTACTGTCCCTTTAAGATGTAAACTGACAAATGTCAACTGTAAAATTTTGGCGGGAAAAGGGCAGGTTTAGGCGGGAAAATTCAGGCTTGTGTCTCTCTAAAAGTTTCTGGACAGTTAGCCCTAGTGCCTATATAAAGGACGGCATGAGGGAAACAAATTCCATGCAAATCAAAGACCACCAGTGCTGCAAGGCAGAAGTGCTAACCATGTTCACGTTGCAAAGTGAAGCTGTGCTGACTTCAACCATCTAACCATGGTCAAGCAAAAATCTTTTGAAAAGTAAATATTCACTTAGCTTTTCCACATTCACTAAGCTAAGCTTTGCAAAGTGGACATGCTATACTACATACCCCTGTACATCACTTGCCAAATCATTTATTTCTCAGCTCTTTATTGGAGCACAGATGGTTTATATTTCATAATTTGGGTGTACTTGCGTACAGTACGCACAGCAATCTCAGAAATAGTTGACTTTCAAAACTGCAAACTAGCCAGTGCACATGCAAAACAAAGTAGTGCTGAAATATATAAATTGTGAGAACAAGACAAAGAACACATTGCGCCAAAGAATTCGTGAAAATCACAATTCCATTTCTTGTCACACTAGGACAGGAAGTGTGTACTGGCAGGATCATAAGGCTAAAATAAAAAAAATTAAGAAAAGTCTAAGCAAAGGAATCAAGCGAAACCTCTACATCAAGGGATTGGTTGTTCTTGGGTTTAGATAAACGTTATCTTAAAGTCAAATCAGCTATACCATAAAGTAAGAGGTAACGTTTATCCGATAGATGTCACCAAATTAAATTGAAACTCCAAGTTAGCAACCAAATGGGTACTTGAAGTATATGAAGTGGAGTTTGTCTGCTTGTCAAAGGATTACTATCACAATATTACATCCATCTTGCAATTTACAAACCCCAACCCTACAGCACAGTCAGTCAGCTGACACATCTATTTCCTGGTCCAGGTTTGCAGCTTTTCATGTCAGCACCATCATCTCAGAATTAATTTATTTCCACTGTGTATGTAGCTGTTTCCCTGATGTCTCACTTTAATCAATGTATTTATATGAAGATTTACAGGACAGATACCCTGTTTCCCCGAAAATAAGACCTACCCTGAAAATAAGACCTAGTACTATTTTTGGGAATGCTAAAATATAAGACCTACCCCGACAATAAGACCTAGTTGTGATCATTCCCAGGGCCGGTGGTGGCATAAGGGGGAACTTGAAGATCCGTGGGAGAGAATCAGCGGTGCCAATGAAGCCAGCGCTAGAGGAAGCGAGGCGACAGCGGAGGGAGCAGAGCCGCATAAGCCGATGCCTCCTCTATAGCGCCTGCTCCTGTCACAGGCGGAGTGATGCCAAATGCACTCCGCCTGTGAGGAATCGATAGTGAAAGTGCGCTTCGCTCATTCTGGCCAGCGATTGGTTAGCAAATTGCTCTTGGAATGGTACGGCACCCCTGATCACCATATTTTTGTATATGAATACATGTAGACTGTTGCACAGGAATAAGTGTGGACTGTTGTGCATTAAAATAAAAAACCTACCCCGAAAATAAGACCTAGAGGTGTTTTCTGAGCCTCAAAAAAATATAAGACAGTGTCTTATTTTCGGGGAAACACAGTAGTGAGGATACATGGTAAAACAAGACACATATACTGTATACTGGTAAACTCTTATGTGCAACATTACCTTTTTTGTGTCCATTCAGATACGTAACCCTGGTATCTATATGAAATATAAATAATACATCTACCCTGTTTCCCTGAAAATAAGACCTACCCCGAAAATTAAGACCTAGTACCATTTTTGGGAATTGCTAAAATATAAGACCTACCCCGAAAATAAGACCTAGTTGCGACCTTTCCCAGGGCCGGTGGTGGCATAACGGGGAACTTGAAGCACCGCGGGAGAGAATCAGCGGTGCCAACGAAGCCATCGCTAGAGGAAGCGAGGCGGCAGCAGAGGGAGCAGAGCCACATAAGCCGATGTTTCCTCTGTAGCGCCGGCTCCTGTCACAGGTGGAGTCATACCAAATGCACTCCGCCTGTGAGGAATCCATAGTGAAAGCGCGCTTCGCTCATTCTGGCCAGCGATTGGTTACCAAAATGCTCTTGGAAAGCTATAGCACCCCTGATTTCTCTGATCACCCTATTCTTAACTTTGTCATTTTGGATTATTTAATTTGGATTTGCACTAACTTTGGATTGTTGTACATTAAAAAAAAAAAATAAGACCTACCCCGAAAATAAGACCTAGTGTATTTTTGTGAGCCCAAAACAATATAAGACAGTGTCTTATTTCCAGGGAAACACGGTATTTTGTCACCCAAAAGTCAGAAGAACTTTGAAATAAATGGGAAAAAGCTCCCATTATGGTGATACCAACTAAACATGAATTTATGCTGATGAATTTCAGAAACTCTTTATGTTGATACATTTGGAAACCTTAACTGAGACTAACTAAATGCAAGAAACAGTATTGCAATGTAATATTTGTTTACTTTTCTGTCTCTTTTAAAAAACATTTCCCAATTATCTTTTGGAAGTAAAAATATTAATGTCCTTTTGTCACCATCAGAAGTCATAAAAACCACCTTATTGACTTGTTGATCCCAATAAAGGATGTACATAAATAGAAGCTGATCAATATTAAAAACTGTAGTAAATTTCTTGAACATCTCAATTTCTATGTGTGTAGTATACCAATCCATGTGACAGTATTGGAACTATGGAAATAAAAGTAATGTTTTCTTTTTTTTAAAATATGAAATATACTGTTATACTGTAAGCTTAATGTTTACTTGTACTGAAAACACAATACACACATAAATAGATAACACATCCTGACAAGTGTTTTGTATATAGCTGATCTTTAAAATAATAGTACAAAGGCAGCACTTTTCTGTGTCAGATAATCACAGCAGATATGTTTGGGTGTTGCTTAGAACTGACCAATAATGGTGGGATGGGGCCAAATTGTGCTGACCATTCCTCTATAAAATGCTAGTGAACCAGCAGAGAGTAATAGTTTCTTGGGCCTTCATCTCTCGCTAACTAACTAATCACCAGCAAAATGACTTTCTCTGATGCTGAAAAGGCTGCCATTGTGTCCATCTGGGGCAAGGTTTCCGGAAATGAGAACTCTCTTGGTGCTGAAGCTTTGGAAAGGTAATGTAAAAGATAATCTTGTTATCTCATTAAGGTGGTAACTATTTTACTCATAACACTGTACATAGGTATCGTTAAACCCATGTACCTAGCGCCTTGGGCCTGTGAAGCTTCCGTTGTAGGCCTAGTGTTTAATGACTATTATTATACCTTAGAGAAGGGCTGTGGTGAAACTACAAATCCCATGGGGTTTTTTACATCTTGTCTACTGGACTAATACGGCTCAGAGAGAGTACAGGGCCCTTTACATTCTTTCACAGCCACTGAGTAGTTTTGTTACTTTTGTTCGCTAACTCCCTTGGTCTAATTCAGGTTTAAATCTCAATACACCCTGTCTATCATTAAAGTGCCCCATTTGCTGTAGCAAATTTCTTTAAAAAAAAAAAAGCAATATCTGCATAAGAACATTGCTTACCTTTCCTGCTGCCCGTGCCATTAAACACCGCTTTAATCCTGAGAAATCTGTTAAAGTCCACAGGGAAAACTACACTTCCTGGAGTTTCAGTCTCCCTCACAACTCTCACTGCTTCCTCTAGCTGACCATAACATTACTGATGGACTCATTAGTTATAAGGAAGTCAGTAGTAGGGGCCACTGAGTATTTTAATTGAACAAATCTGTATGCATAAACTGTTCATGCCTTAACTAATTGTTGACTTTTGATTCTAGGCTATTTTTGAGCTTCCCTCAGACCAAGACCTACTTCAACCACTTTGACTTGAGCCATGGATCTGCTGATCTCCAAAGACATGGTGGCAAAGTCCTGGGTGCCCTTGGAGAGGCTGCCAAACATCTGGACAATATAGAGGGTGCCCTGGCCAAAATTAGCGACCTGCACGCCTACAATCTGAGAGTGGACCCAGGAAACTTTGAGGTGATTAAAAATGACTTTGCTGTTTCAGTATAGTAACTTATTACTCTTTGGATAATTTCATATGGCATAAAAATTATTTCAGAACACAAATCTTTTATAGGGAGTAATGGTTTACATATGCATTAAAGTGACACTAAACTCAGTCGGAAGTTAAATCTTAAAAATGCCTTAAGTACCTTAACCACTAACAAAAATGTATCTTATTTGTGTATCATTAAGCTGTAGATCCTCAAATCATCTCTGAATTTGTGCTGACACTGCCCTTTTGTTCCCCATGCTCCCAGTGTGTATTAAAGTAGCCACCTCCCCAAGCTCAGTCCCGTTATGGACTACAACCTCAATACAAATGATTAAACTAAGCATTGGGACAAGTTCATCCACACTGTCTCTGGTGTTCTGACCTCCAAATACAGATAAAGCCAAAGACTATTTCAACATTCTTACTGTCTTAACAATTGTTATTGAGAAAAGTTAAATGAAATAAAATAATTAAAAAATATATATTGCCTGTGCTCTTATATTCAACACCATATCACACTTTTTAAACTTGTTTTACTATAAAAACTAAATAAAATGGTTATTGTTTTTAACATGGTTAGTAGAAATAGGCCTGGATCACTCATGAGATGAAGGGCACTGGGCCAACTATAAACAGCTTCTGCCAGCCTCCATGTGAAAGTGGGCATATGAATGAACAGTGATTAGATTATCTCTCTCCATAGAAGAACAATACAGTGCTGCTCTTGACTGGCAGGCCAGGGCCTATTTAATGCATAGAACTTTGATGGTTTGGTCCTTTCATAAACTTTGATTTTAAAAGTACACTACATCATCTCGCACTTGTACCTTTCTAACCTACTAGAAATTCAGGTACTACTGCCCATGGTGGCATTATTAAGCAAAATAACTTCTTTACTGAATCCACACATGGCCAAAGTCAACAGCCAACATTTCAAGGACCCCTTTGTCAAGGTGACATAAACTAAACTGTCAGTACAAAGCTAGCTGAAATAGAATAAGCCAAAGACAAACTGTGAATCATAGAGGAGGTGTGTCATTGCACTCCCTGCACACAGGCAAATCATATCCACCAAGAGGCTAAATTAATAAAATTGTGATTATGTTAATAGAACTGCGGATATAAAAAAAAAAACCCCACAAAAAAAGCTCACCTCATTCCCAGGAGTCATGCTGAAATGGCAGATTAGATTACAGGCTCTACGTGGTTACCTAACAGCCAATACACAACAATACGACAACTGTGTACTTTTTAAATATGAAAAGAGCCCTTTATGCCCCTTTCACATGGGCTGATCAGGAGGGGATCTTTGCACGGATCCCCACCTGATCAGAGCTGTATGGATCAGGTGTCACCGCATGTGAGCTATAGTTGAACTAATGAGAAATGTGCAGTTCAGCTATAGCGCCGCACCCTGGTGGTATTGTGTGGTTTGTGGTCCCGGGCGCGTCCCCCCTGTTTGCTGCTGTGGGGGGTGGGGGGGGATGTGGTATTGGACATTGGGTTCGGGATGTCCTTTTGTGTCCATGGCGTAGCCTTTTTTTTTTTTTTATCTTTAGGCACCGAGTCCCTCTCCTGAGGAAGCCTTTATAGGCGAAAGGCTTCAAGACAAAACCATTCATCAGCACTGTAAGACCTCAGCTCATCTATGTTTATACATGCCCTCTATGGGTTGGGATTATATATTTTAAGCAATTATTATGTGGTCACCTCCTCTGAGGTGCTGACTGATGTGGGACTAGTGGGCCAGTCACAAAGACATTGTGACTTGCTGGTTTTTTGTTTGTTTTTACCTGAGAACGATTTTAACGAGACGCATAAGTAAAATGTTGTCAGTTTTATCTGTACATTGGTGCAGATTGGTAATATTTCCAACAAAGGGCGACTCACAAAAAAAACCCCACTATCTTTCTTTTCTTCTTTATATCTAGGGTAAATGGCAATGCAGAAGGAAAAGGAAACTGGAACTGAAAAGATACAGAGGGGAAAATAACAAAAAATAACAGATTGCAGTTATGCTAGACTTTGCAGTTGTGACACTCAAAATATCCATTACTGTTGGAAAATGTATTAAGGCTTTTATCATGACTTTTAGAAATCCTTCAGATCTTGACTAGAGATATGATTTGGAACTAACTAGAGATATGATTTGGAACTGCATAATCAAAATCTTATCAGGTTCATTTTTCATGGATTCTAAAATTTCTTGTCATCCCAAATTAAGTGTCCATTCACACTGCTGCGATGCGTTAATCACACAGTTCCATGTGATTAATACAGTATACCGCGCAATGCACCTACCGTGCACTAACAGTGCGGGAGGGGCATGTCACTGCCATTCATTTGAATGGCATCCCAAACACATCTCCCACCACAATGCGCTCAATCGTGCCATAACACGCGTTACCACAATACCGCGTGTTGCAGTGCGATTAAATAAAGTATTGCATTTTGGGGGGTTTAGAGTCGGCTTGCATACATCTCGTTACAAATTACATAAAGTTGTGCTCACTGAAGGATATTATTTGTAGAATGTTTTTTAGCACTGCGACTTTCTCACACAGGTCTACCAAGATTCAGCAGTTAGTACTGTTTTGTATGTGTGTGCTTTGTGTGGATGTGTGGTTGTCAAGGACATTAATATTTTTAACAAACATCTATGGTGGTGGTTTATTAAGATTCGGTCTTTAGTTATGTATGTTTTTCCATGTATGTTTCTGTTATACTATTGTATTTTTTTTTACTATTGAATAAATTAACTTTTGTATTTTTGGTAATACGCTGGGAACCTTGCCTTTCTTTAGTTATGTTATTGTCCTATGAGGTTCGGTATTGGTATATATTTCCTATGTTGATTATTATTGAAGGGGTGTACTCTAATGTAATGAAATCTATGAGTGTACGGCCAGCTTCAGCCCTCATTCACACTTATATTTTAGGTTCGATTAAGGATTCCTGTGTCAGGAACCTGCATCCAGGGATAGTGATCTCTTCCTAACTGCATGTAATCGTCCGGTCTTACTGATATTATGATAAGCAAAATTTAGGAACCAATATAGGTCATCAACAGTGCAAATTGTATTCTGTCATTTCCCATGCTAACATTATGTTCTGGTACACAGCAATGTAATATTTACAAATTAAAGAATGCTTTTTAAAAAGTGTTTGTTATTTATGGTGCTATAAAATTAACAAAGTTTATGAAAACTGAAAAAGTCAACAATAAAAACAGGAAAGAAAGGGAATAAATAGTTAATCAAAAACTAAATGGGGTAACAGAGGGTACATAAGGGGTTAAATAGGGACTACATTCACTTGTTTTTACATTGTACAATGATATCCCAGCCCTGCAGGTTACACTAGTAGAGTGGCTATCCCAGTGTAATCTACGGAGTTCTGTGGTCAGTTTGACAGTTTGCACACAAAATTAGAAACAACCTGTAATACACTGCTTAGCCTTTGCCCCTGGTCACCGTAGTCACAAGGGCCAATAGCCGAAAGGAATTGCTAACCAAGTCCCCTTACTATAAAAAGCCCACCCTTTTATAGTAATCAAATGTAGTTAGTTGTAGTTAGTGAATGTTCTCCTATGACCCAAAAGAGAAGTAAAGCCAAAAAAAAGATTTGGCTTTAGTTCTCTTTTAAAGTATATGTGGTGAAATGTCATTTGCAAAGAACACCCAATCCTGTGCATAGTATTTTTGCTTGCACATGATGGAATCATTGAATTCAGCAGAGGTTCACCTCATTCAACTCAGGCTAAGGGAAATGTCCCCTGCAAAGTGCAAATTCCCTTGCAAAGTGAACAGCATATTTGCATTTAGAAAATCAACCCCAGTGCCTCAATACCAGCTTGGCAATACTGCAGCCCACTTTTTTGCTGGTACGAAGCTGCCATTAATTTTCCCACAAAGCCATCCCTGCCCTCCACCTTTCCCTTAGCCTACAGAACATCACACAGGTGCCTTCCTTGGCCCATGTCCTAGACCACATAGTGCAGTGCTTTCTGTCATAATACCTTGGATTCCATGTCATGCTATACCACACCAGGAGGGATGATGCAATGTGGTTTTGCAATAAAACGGACCTCACAAATGATACCAAACTGTTGTTCAGCTGGCCGCTTTCTAACAAGCTGTACCAGCCTTATCATATGTTTTGTAGGTAGATACTTTCCTGTGGATTTTAGAGCTAATGTGGCTGCTACTTCAACCATTCAATGCAGGCTTAGTACCATTTGATGATTAAGCTTTTTAAATAAAAAAATCTGAATTAAATGAGGTTGGGTTGGTGCTGTGGTATGGAAATGAGCTCATTGTAAAGGAACACAAGCAATTCCACAGCCAAATATGTGCTGCCTTAGTACACTGTTGCTGAGGCTGTCCATGAAAATCATATTGCTTTATAAAGACCATGTCATTAAAGTGACATTAAGGCCAAATCCTACCCCATCCCACAGTACTAATGTCAGTTTTTAGCTGTCCCTCCACCATTGGTGCAGGTCTCTGATCCAGCGCTGACTCCCCTATCCTCTTCTCTCATATCCCACGGTGTTTGTGCGGGTGCATGCTGCTCCATATACTTACATTGTGTCTCTCCTCGTCTCCCAGCCGAACATCTAAACTGCGCAAGCGCACGCCCCAAGGTCCTTTGCGTCCGCTCTGAGAAATTATCAGATGTTCGGATGGGATTGGGCGGCGGAGACACTGGTAAGTTTGAACCCCTTCAAAAAGTTAAAAAAATAATAATTTAACATATATCTACTGCTTGCTAGCAGTACTTATATGCAAAAACAAATGAGAATTTAATAACCATTTAAAAAGGTTTGGTGTATTGTCAATGTCACCATGAAAACGCTCTCTCCCCAATGTCATTTTTTTAAATTTTGTTAGCATTAATACATGTCTCCCATGGCAGTACTCAGTTTCCCATGCCTTTGGTCTGACAATTGCTTGCTTATTAGCACTACAAATGACCAAAATAGAATAATAGACTTCTAAAGGTGGCCATACACTTTACAACCCTCGTAAGACTTTGGTCTTGCGAGGGTTGTAAAGTAATTTAAAAAACGTACGATCTGCCCATCTTGGACAGGCAGATCGTACTTGCGATCATCGCAAGCCCGCCCCCCTCAGGGCGCACACCGGTCCGTTCGCCAGTTGTCGAACAAGCAGGCCACTAACTCGCCGAGAGTAGTACGATTCCCGGCGGGTTTTCCAGCCTGCTTGTTCGACGGAAGACGTGCGGCCGTACAGTAGAAACGGGCGCCCGCCTTCCATACACTGCATGATAATCGTACGATCGCGGGATTTCCCGCGATTCTCGTACGATAATCGTGCAGTGTATGGGCACCTTTAGGGATTCAGTGAAAAGTTTGAATTCTTTTAGCACAATCTGCAAAACATCCGTCAAATTAAACCTTGGCCAATTTGATCTTCACTCGTTTGCTATCCTTGCTAACCTGTACACTGACATGCTCCCTATGGAGTTATCTGTATGTTCCCTCAAACAGATGGTCCCACCCCACCCCAAACACCACCTCTCTTCTTTCTGACTACTTCTTGGACAGACATAGGTAAAAAACTCAAGCTTCGTTAAGTGACATCTCTCCATTTATTAACTTTACCTTCAAAGAAAATTTTGCTCATTTTTGTTCATTAACACGTTTACAGCTTGTACTTTTTACAATGAAATCAATGGAAACACATGAAAACACATGTCAGTGCTTGTTGAAAGAACTTTGACATGTGTTTTATGCACATTGATGTGCAATGCAAATTGCATGGCACATTGATATGTGAAATCGCACGAGTCTTAAAACTGAGGTGTGAATCGACCCTTACCATTATGAGAAATTGCATGAAAAATGCATAGTAAGCTCTGTGACACTTTAACCACTTCCGGGCAGCAATCAATCTTTATACGGCGGCCAGCAGAAGTGGTTAAAACAAGAACATGGCTGCTGCAGCAGCCGTGTTCTTGGTGTAATTATTAACAGCTGGCGATGTCTGTTAATGTAGAAGCGATCAACCTACCGAGCAACGCTGTCTATCTTAGAGCAAGAAGAAGAAGCTAGGGAAGCAGATATCTTTGGGGTCACTAGGTGACATTAGGGGTCTAAAATACCCCTGATGTCTCCATAAAGAGGACCTGTCACACCCTATCTGCTATTACATAGGGGGCTTCTTAGTCCCCTATGAGATAGCAATAAGGTTAGTGTAAAAAAAAGTGTTTAAAAATGTAAAAAATGAAAGTAACATATAAGAAAAATTATAAAATGCAAAAAAAGAAAATAAAGTCCCACGCCTCTCCACGTGGACGCACATACACACGCAAACACGCGCCGGTGCGTCTACATGCGAAAATGACAATTGGGCGACACATGTTACATATCGCCGCAAACGTCAGAATGAGAGCAATAATTCTAGGGCCATCAATCACTAAGTACTAAACTGATGAACGGTAAAAGCATTTAAAATGTCCCCCATGAGAAATTTTGGCCTGTACAGCCGGCTCAATGCTGATTGGCTGGAAAGCTGGCTTTCCAGCCAATCAGCAGGGAGCCTGCTTTCTGGCCAATCAGGAAGCCGGGAGGCGGGTCATTACTCACTGAAAAGTGGATTTCACCTCGGACCTAGACAACAAAAAAATATTTTCTAGCAACTGTGTATGTAGTTGTTTGCCTGAAGTTACTCTCGAATAAATTAACCAGTTGCCGTCGCCCATTGTAAAAAAAACGGACGGACGGCACTGCAGCATTGTCGGGTTGCCGTCTCCAGACGGCATTTTTTTCTGCTCGCGGGCATGCACGGCCAGAAAAGACCCGACCAATGCAAACACCCGTTACCGGGTGTTTCACATATAGACGATTGGCGGCTCTATAGCCTGCCGATCGTCTATATGTGCCCGTTTTTTCGGCCGCCCCCCGCCGTCTGCGGCCGGCGCTGGTTCCCAGACCCCTCACCTTCAATCCCGGAATCCGCTGCCCCATCTGCGGCCCGGGATAGGGTCGGGAGGGCGTCAGGAGGAAGGGAGATCAGCTCCTTGCTGATCTGCCTCCGGGCTGTGAATGCAGAAGTGATGTGCATTACATCACTTCTGCATTCACCTGTCAGTCATCTGGCTTCTATAGCCATGGAGAAGAAGCTGACGAAGAAGATCTCTGCTTCCTTGCTGATCTGCCTCCGGGCTGTGAATGCAGAAGTGATGTGCATTACATCACTTCTGCATTCACCTGTCAGTCATCTGGCTTCTATAGCCATGGAGAAGAAGCTGATGAAGCAGATCTCTGCTTCATCAGCTTCTTTTGGGGTCCACAGGTGACATTAGGGGTCCCAGAGACCCCTATTGTCTCCATAAAGAGGATCTGTCAGTGTACCTTTGCTATTATATAGGGGGATTGTTATCATTTTAGGGCCATCAATCACAGATAACACTAAACAGATGAGCGGTAAAAGCTTTTAAAGCGTCGCCCATGGCCAATTTTGGGTATTATAGTTTTTTGAGGTTTCGCGCGCGCACGCAATTTTAAGGCTTGACATGTTTGGGTCTTTTTACCCGATTTGACCCTGTCTTTTATATTTTACCAAAAAATTGGGTAATAATAAATGTTTCATCATTTAATATAGGGGGAACTGTTTTTCTTTTTAAATTTCGGTGATTTTTCCTTAGTATAGTAACAAATAAAAACCCCAGTGGTGAATAAATACCACCAAAAGAAAGCTCTATCTGTCCCCAAAAAAGGGTATAAAATTCATTTCAGTACAGCGTTGCATGACGGAATAAATGTCAGTCAAAGTACCGCAGCGCTGAATACTGAAAAATGGCCTGGATGGGAAGGGGGTTTAACACCGCGGATGTCAACTGGTTAAAGAAGAACTCAAACTTACAAACTTACAAACTAACCCCTGCAGTGGGGCTACCTCCACACTGCAAAGTTGCCTGTTTTGGTCTAGGGTCTACAAAAATGGATATACTCATCTGATCCTCAATCCTGCAGCAGCGACTGCTCACCTCTTTCTTCCCATCTGCTCCAGCTGTGGAATGTCTTTTGACGCCCTCACGTTCAATGCAAATTAATGGACTTTTATTAAATGTGAGGGTGTCAGCAGAGCTTAGACCACCGAAGCCCAGGGAAGAGACTATGGGGAGTGGGCTAAAAGTCAAGCGGGATTGAGGATCAAGTGAGTATATCTTTTTTATTTTAGATTCTAGACCACGGCTACTACGGCTCTCCAGCTGCTTTGGAATTACAAGTCCCATGAGGCATTGGAAGACAGTTACAGACATGATTCCCAGAGGCAAAGGCATGTTGAGATTTGTATTTAAAGCACAGCACCACGGCAAGGGTTTATTTGTAATTTCCCCGGAGTTCTCCTTTAACTTATTACAATGTTTTCAGGATAGATGCTTGGAAAACCTGGTCTGCAAAACATACAGGGGGGAAGTTATCAAAACGGGAGCATACAAAATCTGGAGCAGCTGTGCATGACAACCAATCAGCTTCTCTCTTCAGTTTGTTAAGATTTGAAAATGAAAGAGAGAAGCTGATTGGTTGCCATGCACAGCTGCTACAGATTTTGTCTGCTCCAGTTTTGATAGATTCCCTTCACAGTATATCCAGGTAATCACTTGTGTTGCCACTCATTTTTCTACACTTTTTTCTGTCACTACTTAGATACCTGAGCTCAGTGTTAACTTTAAATTGAAATAATAATGATCTTTTGTCACCCAAGAGAGTGAGAAAAACATTAAAAATAAAAACTCCCCTTAGGGTATTGCTGATTCCAGTGATGTATGTTCATTAATGGATACTGATGGATATTAGAAACCATAGTACATTAATGACTACATGCATGTCACAATATTTACACAAATTACATTTATTTTCTTTAAAATATAGAATATTTCTTTTCTGTACTGAAAACACTATATGTACTGTATATATAGAACCACACCCTGGCAAGTGTTTTGTATACAGCTGACTTTTAAAATATTAGTACAAAGGCAGCACTTTTCTGTGTCAGATAATCACAGCAGATATGTTTGGGTGTTGCTTAGAACTGACCAATAATGGTGGGATGGGGCCAAATTGTGCTGACCATTCCTCTATAAAATGCTAGTGAACCAGCAGAGAGTAATAGTTTCTTGGGCCTTCATCTCTCGCTAACTAACTAATCACCAGCAAAATGACTTTCTCTGATGCTGAAAAGGCTGCCATTGTGTCCATCTGGGGCAAGGTTTCCGGAAATGAGAACTCTCTTGGTGCTGAAGCTTTGGAAAGGTAATGTAAAAGATAATCTTGTTATCTCATTAAGGTGGTAACTATTTTACTCATAACACTGTACATAGGTATCGTTAAACCCATGTACCTAGCGCCTTGGGCCTGTGAAGCTTCCGTTGTAGACCTATTGACTGTTATTATGCCTTAAAGCAGGGGTGGGGAACCTCTGGCCCTGCAGCTGTGATGAAACTACAAATCCCATTTTTTTAGCATCTTGTCTACTGGACTAATACGGCTTACCCATTTACACACACACATATATATGCAGGTCATATATACTGTATATATATATATATATGTCAGAGCGACATATTTGACAGAGTACAGGGCCCTTTATATTCTTTCACAGCCACCGAGTAGTTTTTTACTTTTGTTTGCTAACTCTCTTGGTCTAATTCAGGATTCAGGTTTATATCTCAATACAACATGTGTATCATTAAAGTGCCCCATTTGCTATAGCAATTTTTTTTTAAAAGTATTATCTGCATAAGAACATTGCTTACCTTTTCTGCTGCCCTTGCCATTGAACACCGCTTTAATCCTGAGAAATCTGTTAAAGTCCACAGGGAAAACTACACTTGGAGTTTCAGTCTCCCTCACAGCTCTCACTGCATCCTCTAGCTGACCATCACATTACTGATGGACTCATTAGTGACAAGGAAGTCAGTAGTAGGGGCCACTGAGCATTTTAATTGAACAAATCTGTATGCATAAACTGTTCATGCCTTAACTAATTGTTGACTTTTGATTCTAGGCTATTTTTGAGCTTCCCTCAGACCAAGACCTACTTCAACCACTTTGACTTGAGCCATGGATCTGCTGATCTCCAAAGACATGGTGGCAAAGTCCTGGGTGCCCTTGGAGAGGCTGCCAAACATCTGGACAATATAGAGGGTGCCCTGGCCAAAATTAGCGACCTGCACGCCTACAATCTGAGAGTGGACCCAGGAAACTTTGAGGTGATTAAAAATGACTTTGCTGTTTCAGTATAGTTACTCTTTGGATAATTTCATATGGCATAAAAACTAGGGATGCACAGATACTTTTTAGATACCAGTGCAGATACTTGGCATTTTCATGAGAACTACCGGGGTATCAGCGGTTGCAGCTGGGACCTGGCTCTGGAGCTCCACCACTGTCCTGAAATCATTAGTCTGTATTGTTTTAGAAAAACTGTCACATGACAATAAACATAAATGTATCAGTACTTTCAAGTATCAGTACTAGCACAAATGGTATTGGTGCATCCCTTTATTTATATTTATAAAAACAAAATCGTACATTAAAACAGAGATGTACAAATCCCAGGAGCTCTGTGTGCTCCTTACAAATGACAGCTGCCTCCTAACTTTTGAATTTGTCTCTAGTCTAGTCTTGGAGCTTGAAATCTGTACTTGTACCTGTACTGGTACCGAGTACGGTACTTGGTATCGGTGCAGCCCTAATAAAAATTATTTCGCAACACAAATCTTTTATAGGGAGTAATAGTTTACATACACATTAAAGTGACACTAAACAAAGTCAGAAGTTAAATCTTTAAAATGCATTCAAGTACCTTAACTATTATATGTATGTTATTTGTGTATCATTAAGCTGTAGATCCATAAATCATCTCTGAATTTGTGCAGACACTGTCATTCCTTCTGGAAAGTGGCTACTTTTGTTCCCCATGCTCCCTGTGTGTGTTTTAAAGTAGCCACCTACCCAAGCTCGGTCCCGTGATGGACTACAATCTCAATACAAATGAGTAAACTAAGCATGAGATTGTATTCCATAGCGGAAGTGAGCTTGGAGCAGTGGCTACTTTTCAACACACAGGGACCATGGGGAACAAAAGTAGCCACCCTCCAGAAGGAGGACAGTATCAGCACCAATTCAGAGATGATTTGAGGCTCTACAGCCGAGTGATATATAAATAAGATACATTTTTGTTAATATTTAAGGTACTTGGATGCATTGAGTTTTGTGTCACTTTAAATCAGCAAAATGTGGGTTTATTATAGTCAAATAACTAATGTAAAAGATCTAATAATGAATAACCAATAGTAACCAATTACAGTCCAGATTTCATTGCAATAATGACTGTAAGCTGTTGAAAGCTCATTTATAAATGACTGCCATGCCCCATTATACACTATTATTTTTTGCACCAATATTATTATTAACTAACCTTTCCTCACTAGGCAGCTGGCAGTGTTTCTTCACTTTACTGAAAAATGTAAATTTATAAAATATATATTTAAATGTAATAAATAATATAATAATAATATATATAAATGTAATATACTGAATATCATATTGTGAAATCATTTCAAGGCATTAACTCCTTCAATTAGTAAAGTAATGTAGTTCAAGAAGCATTGCTAATCACTGCATAATCTGTGCATTCCATGGAGGTTTGTACAATGGCTAACACATATTTTTCTTACAGCTTTTGTCTCACTGTATCCTGGTTGTTCTGGCCTCTCACTTCCCAAAAGAATTTAATGCTGCGGTCCATGCTGCTTGGGACAAGTTCATCCACACTGTCTCTGGTGTTCTGACCTCCAAATACAGATAAAGCCAAAGACTATTTCAACATTCTTACTGTCCTAATAATTGTTTTTAAGAAATGGTCAATTATCATAAAAGTTAAATGAAATAAAATAATTAAATAAATGCATTGCCTGTGCTCTTATATTCAACACCATACACACTTTTTAAACTTGTTTTACAATAAAAGTTAAATAAAATGGTGATTGTTTTTTACATGGTTAGTAGAAATAGGCCTGGATCACTCATGAGATGAAGGGCACTGGGCCAACTATAAACAGCTTCTGCCAGCCTCCATGTGAAAGTGGGCATATGAATGAACAGTGATTAGATTATCTCTCTCCATAGAAGAACAATACAGTGCTGCTCTTGACTGGCAGGCCAGGGCCTATTTAATGCATAGAACTTTGATGGTTTGGTCCTTTCATAAACTTTGATTTTAAAAGTACACTACATCATCTCGCACTTGTACCTTTCTAACCTACTAGAAATTCAGGTACTACTGCCCATGGTGGCATTATTAAGCAAAATAACTTCTTTACTGAATCCACACATGGCCAAAGTCAACAGCCAACATTTCAAGGACCCCTTTGTCAAGGTGACATAAACTAAACTGTCAGTACAAAGCTAGCTGAAATAGAATAAGCCAAAGACAAACTGTGAATCATAGAGGAGGTGTGTCATTGCACTCCCTGCACACAGGCAAATCATATCCACCAAGAGGCTAAATTAATAAAATTGTGATTATGTTAATAAAACAGCAGATATAAAAAAAAAAAAAAGCTCACCTCATTCCCAGGAGTCATGCCGAAATGGCAGATTAGATTACAGGCTCTACGTGGTTACCTAACAGCCAATACACAACGATACAACAACTGTGTATTTTTTAAATATGAAAAAAGCCCTTTATGCCCCTTTCACATGGGCTGATCAGGAGGATGCACAGATCCCCACCTGATCAGAGCTGTATGGATCAGATGTCACCGCTGTGAGTTATAGTTGAACTGATGAGAAATGTGCAGTTCAGCTATAGCGCCGCACCCTGGTGTTAACGTGTGGGGCTTTGCCCATTCTGTAGTCCCGGGCACGCCCCCCCTGTATGTTGGTGGGGGGAGGATGTAGTATTGGATATTTGGTTAGGGATGTCCTTTTGTGTCCATGGCGTAGCCTTTTTTTAATCTTTAGGCACTATGTCCCTCTCCTGAGGAAGCCTTTATAGGTGAAACGCGTCAAGACAAAATCATTCATCAGCACTGTAAGAACTCTGCTCATCTATGTTTATTCATGCCCTCTATGGGTTTGGACTATATATTTTAAGCAATTATTATGTGGTCACCTCCTCTGTGGTGCTGACTGATGTGGGACTAGTTGGCCAGTCACAAAGTCATTGTGACTTGTTGTTTTTTTGTTGTTTGTTTTTACCTGAGAAGGATTTAAACGAGATGCATCAATAACATTTTGTAAGTTTTATCTGTACATTGGTGAAGATTGCTAATATTTCCAACAAAGGCCGACTCAGAAAAACTCCCCACTCTCTTTCTTTTCTACTTTATATCTAGGGTAAATGGCAACGCAGAAAGAAAAGGAAACAGGAACTAAAAAAGATACAAAGGGGAAAATAACAAAAATTAACAGATTGCAGTTATGGACTAGAGATATGATTCGGAAGTGACTAGAGATATGATTTGGAACTGACTAGAGATATGATTTGGAACTGCATAATCAAAATCTTATCAGGTTCATTTTTCATGGATTCTAAAATTTCTTGTCATCCCAAATTAAGTGTCCATTCACACTGCTGCGATGCGTTAATCACACAGTTCCATGTGATTAATATAGTATACTGCGCAACGCACCTACCGTGCACTAACAGTGCGGGGGGTGCATTTTACTGCCATTCATTTGAATAGCACCCCAAACACACCTCCCGCTCGCAATGCACTCAATCGTGCCATAACACGCGTTACCACAATATTGCGTGTTGCAGCGCGATTAAAGAAAGTATTGAATTTTGGGGGTTTTAGATGCTTTAAAAAGTGAGCTTGCATACATCTTGTTACAAATTACATAAAGTGCTCACTGCTCACTGAAGGATATTATTTGTAGAATGTTGTTCAGCACTGCGACTTTCTCACACAGGTCTACCAAGATTCAGCAGTTAGTACTGTTTTGTATGTGTGTGCTTTGTGTGGATGTGTGGTTGTCAAGGGCATTAATATTTTTAACAAATGAATATGGTGGCGGTTTATTAAGATTCGGTCTTTAGTTATGTTTGTTTTTCCATGTATGTTTCTGTTATACTATTGTATTCTTTTTTTACTATTGAATAAATTAACTTTTATATTTTTGCTAATACCCTGGGAACCTTGCCTTTCTTTAGTTATGTTATTGTCCTATGAGGTTTGGTATTGGTATATATTTCCTATGTTGATTATTACTGAAGGGGTTAGCTTCACCTCATTTAACTCAAGCTAAGGAAATGTCCCCTGTAATGTGCAAATTCCCTTGCAAAGTGAACAGCATATTTGCATTTAGTAAATCAACCCCAGTGCCTCAATACCAGCTTGGCAACACTGCAGCCCACTTTTTTGCTGGTACCAAGCTGCCATTAATTTTCCCACAAAGCCATCCCTGCCCTCCGCCTTTCCCTTAGCCTACAGAACATCACACAGGTGCCTTCCCTGGCCCATGTCCTAGACCACATAGTGCAGTGCTTTCTGTCATAATACCTTGGATTCCATGTCATGCTATACCACACCAGGAGGGATGATGCAATGTGGTTTTGCAATAAAACGGAGCTCACGGGGAGGCCCACAAGGCCACCATGAGAGGTCAGCTAATAGAGATAGCCACGCGAAGGAAGAAGGAAAGGAATAGGAGAGTCAGTGAACTTTATACCAAGCTAGAGGAACTCACTACCTGTCTGAAGGATAAGCGGGATGAGCGATTGATAACACAATTGAATACCGTTAAAACTGAATTGAATCTCCTACTGGATCAACACACTGAGAAACTCCTTAGATGGTCTAAACACAAATTTTATTCCAGATCGAATAAGCCGGGCTCCATGCTAGCTAAAAAACTGAATGCACTCCCACATCGGAACGCACCTCTTAGACTACGAACCACGCAGGGCAATATAACAGCGAATCCGAATAAAATTCTCCAATTGTTTCACGAAAATCTAACAACACTCTATTCCGCCCCTAATTCTTTTATTGAATCCAAAGCAGATGCACTGCTTAAGGACCTTCCCTTCCCTACTGCCCCCCCAACAACACTTACTCAACTTCACCTAGAAATAACGGAGGAGGAAGTACTGAACACGATCAAATCCCTTAAAACGTCTAAGGCTCCTGGCCCAGATGGGTTTTCAACCCTTTATTACAAAAAGTTAGCACCCATATTGGCACCTAGATTAGCGGACATGTATAATTCCTTGAGAAAAGGGAACTTAGTACACTCATCCTTGTTGGCATAAATTACAATGGTGCCGAAACCAGATAAGGACCCTCGAGACCCCAATAACTATTGGCCTATATACCTTCTGAATGTAGACCTTAAGATCCTGGCGAAGATCCTGGCTGCACGTATCAATGAATTCCTACCGGTTCTGATTCATAAGGACCAGGTCGGCTTTGTCCCGTCCCGGCAGGCAGGGGATAACGTCAGGACTTGGTACATGTCCTCCGGACTAGGAACATCCCGGGGGTTCCTACTGTCTCTTGACATCCAGCGGGCATTTGATACGGTCTCCTGGGACTACCTCCGATATATACTGCTCAAGTGGGGTCTTGATGGTCCTTTTCTAATGATAGCATACTGTCATCTGAGGCCCTCATGCAACAGGTCGAGTCACATGCTCGACAATTCTTCTCTCTGAATGCTGGCACTGTGGACTCCCCAGTCATACTGTGGGAGGCCCACAAGGCCACCATGAGAGGTCAGCTAATAGAGATAGCCACGCGAAGGAAGAAGGAAAGGAATAGGAGAGTCAGTGAACTTTATACCAAGCTAGAGGAACTCACTACCTGTCTGAAGGATAAGCGGGATGAGCGATTGATAACACAATTGAATACCGTTAAAACTGAATTGAATCTCCTACTGGATCAACACACTGAGAAACTCCTTAGATGGTCTAAACACAAATTTTATTCCAGATCGAATAAGCCGGGCTCCATGCTAGCTAAAAAACTGAATGCACTCCCACATCGGAACGCACCTCTTAGACTACGAACCACGCAGGGCAATATAACAGCGAATCCGAATAAAATTCTCCAATTGTTTCACGAAAATCTAACAACACTCTATTCCGCCCCTAATTCTTTTATTGAATCCAAAGCAGATGCACTGCTTAAGGACCTTCCATTCCCTACTGCCCCCCCAACAACACTTACTCAACTTCACCTAGAAATAACGGAGGAGGAAGTACTGAACACGATCAAATCCCTTAAAACGTCTAAGGCTCCTGGCCCAGATGGGTTTTCAACCCTTTATTACAAAAAGTTAGCACCCATATTGGCACCTAGATTAGCGGACATGTATAATTCCTTGAGAAAAGGGAACTTAGTACACTCATCCTTGTTGGCATAAATTACAATGGTGCCGAAACCAGATAAGGACCCTCGAGACCCCAATAACTATTGGCCTATATACCTTCTGAATGTAGACCTTAAGATCCTGGCGAAGATCCTGGCTGCACGTATCAATGAATTCCTACCGGTTCTGATTCATAAGGACCAGGTCGGCTTTGTCCCGTCCCGGCAGGCAGGGGATAACGTCAGGACTTGGTACATGTCCTCCGGACTAGGAACATCCCGGGGGTTCCTACTGTCTCTTGACATCCAGCGGGCATTTGATACGGTCTCCTGGGACTACCTCCGATATATACTGCTCAAGTGGGGTCTTGATGGTCCTTTTCTTTCCTGGCTTCAAGCCTTATACAATAACCCCACTGCACAGGTAAAATACTTAGGACACGTCTCTGGGGCCTTCCCGATTGGCAGAGGTACTCGCCAGGGTTGTCCCC